CGCAACAATAATTACCCGATGCTACCTATAATAGCAGTGTTGATGGTGATTGGGGCCTAGTGGTTTGCGCCGACAATTATAACGATGATCATGATGATGGTGATGGTGATGGCCGTACCTGGCCATTTTCGCCGGCAATAACGATGATGATGGTGGTGGTGGTGCCTGGCTGGCAATGATAGTTATTGTTGCTCAGAGCGGTTGCTGCTGCTGCTGTTGTTGCTGCTGCTGCTGTTCCTGTTGTTATCGTTGCTGAGGGAAGCGATGATGACGATGTGCACGGAGGGGCGCCTCCTCCTCATTTCCACTCTTCCTTCTCAATGTCGTTATCAATACTAATGGCAATCTCTGCTTGCCATTGCTTTTGATAACGGTTACTCTGAAGTCGATAAGGGCTCCGGCTTTGGCACTTCCCGGCCACCGATTTCTGGTCGTCCTGCTTGAAGATACCGACCGAATTTTGCATTTTTTCCAATAAATATTCAGCCGCCAGCAAAGTGGGCATACCTACATGTATATGCCCGTATGCTTGAAGTTTCGCGCGGTGTGAATTCGCGAAAATGTAGAAGCAAATAGGCTGGATGTGTTGCCCACTTTGCTGGCGGTTGATGCACATCGCATATCAGTGGGCCGAGAAAGTAATTAGCCACTAACTGGGATAGCTTTCGAGGAGGGGAGAGCAGGTGTGGCTGCCTGGTGCAGATGTGCGCTTTTCAAGACCGAAAGGACTAACATAGCTGCGTCCGGCGTATGGCGACATATCGGTAACACCGCTAACACGTAACCCCTATTCCAGTCCTATGAGCAGTCTTGATACTCTTAGTAGTAATCTGATTATCGTATGATTATAGCATGAAAGCAGTATAAAGAACTTAAAAAAGAAGGCAAGAATAGAACGAACTATGTAATGCAAGATGTAGGAATATTGCTGGTACAGGAAAAATAAGTATGATAGAGTTAAGACGTTTCGGTCCATGAAGTCATATACGTCTTAGCTCAAAAAATATATATGCATTAAATATGTATGCAGCTTCCTTATGTGTATATATGAAAACGCGTAATGGCATAGGTAATCGGTATAAGGAACCCACTGTGACCAGTATTACTGAGGCTATATACATATTGGAGACGTTGTTAAAACGTCTTAGCAACTGTATGTGTATATGTATGTTTGTGTGTATGTATGTGAATGTGTATGTATGTGGATGTGTATGTGTGTGAATGTGTGTGTGCGAATGTGTATGTGTGTGAATGTGTATGTGTGTGAATGTGTATGTGTGTGAATGTGTATGTGTGTGAATGTGTGTGTGTGAATGTGTATGTGTGTGAATGTGTATGTGTGTGAATGTGTATGTGTGTGAATGTGTATGTGTGTGAATGTGTATGTGTGTGAGTGTGTATGTGTGTGAATGTGTATGTGTGTGAATGTGTATGTGTGTGAATGTGTATGTGTGTGAATGTGTATGTGTGTGAATGTGTACGTGTGTGAATGTGTATGTGTGTGAATGTATATGTGTGCGTGTATGTGTGTTTATGTATGTGTGTTTGCACATGTGCATGTAATGTATATTTGTACATGTGTGTATGTGTAGTATGTACATAAACGTATGTGTACATATGTATGTGTGTATGCATGCGTGTGTGTGTGCACGTGTGCGTGTGCGGGAGGTCGGGGTTTGCAGTTTAGGTTCCCCTCGAGTATTTCTTCACAAACTGAGTAGAGAAAATGCGAAAGCAGCGTTTTTATATTATATTTGACTTGGGTGCGTACCCTGAAGTGCACTAAATTTACCCGCATCCATTACCCGTTAGAGGATTAGTTCCTAACAGAATTCGAACTAATAGCTAACTAAAGAAGCGACATTTTATGTGCCTGCCACGCTTCAGTATGTTCATAGCAGTGGAATACCTGTGGGAACCTGCGCAGCTTCGTATGCTGCTGCGTCTGTAAGTTGGCGGACTGGCTGTAAAGAAGCCTCACAAGCGACTTAGCTTTCAGGAACATTTTCCCAAGCATGCACGCCGGTTTCGATACCACAACAGCACCGTCAATGGTGAGCCTGGTAAGTTCACTCGAATCGCTTCTGAAAAAAGAAATCACATTTCGTGTGGGAACGCATTGTGGCACGGTCGCGCATGTCTGTTTGCGTGCGCTTAGATGCTTGATACCTTTGGGAACAGCACACATCTGGAGCAACAGCAAGCACGCACTGGAATTTCGACAT